CCAGTTACAGCTGAAACAGGCAGGCAGAGGGTCTCCTTGTTCAACCTCCGCTGGGAACGTAGATGTGAGTAACTCAAAATTTTCACCTCTCTGTGCATACATGTATCCACAAGTAACTGCAAGCTTACCTCCAGTATTGATTTGAGGGTTACAAATATATTTTCGAAGGAGATAAATTTGCAAATATGGAATCCAGGAATAATGAGGATCAACTGTATATTTTTTCGATTATAAAATTAATATAATAAATGGAGCTAAAGTAAAAATTAATGTCCCCCCATAATCCCAGCTCATAGATGAACACAGAATTGATATATAGTTCTGCAGAATTTGTTATGCAAATGATGCTTCCATGCATATGTAAGTCTGTGTGTGTCTGTGTCTTTGTGCATTTTGAGTCTTACTTACTTCCTTTTTCACTCAACAATAGTTCTTGGGTAGCTTTCCCCCCCACCCCAAAAAAAATTCTGGGCCAGGCATAGTGGTTCACGCCTGTAATCCTAGCACTTCCTATTGGCAAAATGGGGTTTACTAAGCATTCTCACATGTGTGGGAGGTGGGCTAGGTGGGAGGATCAATTGAGCTCAGGAATTCAAGACCAGGCGAAGCAAGAGCAAAACCCCATCTCTACTAAAGATAGAAAAATTAGGTGAGCACCCTGGCGGATGCCTGTAATCCCAACTACTCAGGAGGCTGAGGCAGGAGGATTGCTTGAACCCAGGAGTTTGAGGTTTCTGTGAGCTAGGTTGAAGCCACAGCACTCTAGCCAGGGGCAACAGAATGAGATTCTGTATCAAAAAAAAAAAAAAAAAAATTCAGGCTTGGTGCCTGTGGCTCAAGCGGCTAAGGCGCCAGCCACATACACCTAAGGTGGCGGGTTCAAATCCCCAGCCCGGGCCCGCCAAACAACGATGGCTGCAACCAAAAAATGGCCAGGCGTTGTGGCGGGCACCTGTAGTCCCAGCTACTTGGGAGGCTGAGGCAGGAGACTCACTTGAGCCCAGGAGTTGGAGGTTGCTGTGAGCATGATGCCATGGCACTCTACCCAGGGGGATAGCTTGAGGCTCTGTCTCAAAAATAAATAAATAAATAAATAAAATAAAAATTCTGAATGCTATTTTTTAGAGTAGGAACAAAGGCAGGTGGGATACACTACAGTCAGAATATCTTAGTTTAGACCCCTTGACTGGATCAGGACTATGAAAGCAAAAATCCAGAGGAACAAATGACTTACCATTCTTCAATATAACAACAGTTTTTGTGTTCTGCATCTTTTTTTCTTCTGTTTTTTTTTTTTTTTTAGAGACAGAGTTTCACTTTATCACCCTCAGTAGAGTGCTGAGGCATCACAGCTCACAGCAACCTCCAACTCCTGGGCTTAGGTGATTCTCTTGCCTCAACCTCTGGAGTAGCTGGGACTACAGGTGCCTGCTGTAACACCTGGCTATTTTTTTATTGCAGTTTGGTCGGGGCCAGGTTCAAACCTGCCACCCTTGATATATGGGGCTGGCGCCCCACCCACTGAGCCACAGGTGCCACCCTGTGTTCTGCATCTTAACTGAGATGCAGTAAGGTATGGAGTATGGAGGAGAACACCTCAAAGAATGAAAAGACTAAGAACTGGAAAATATGAACAATAAAAGAGAATGTGACTTTCAGCCAGAGAAAACCATATTCAATACCCTTTGGAGGAGATGGGAGCCAGATATTATGAGAAAATTATCTACTGAAAGGAGTAAGACAATAGCATAAAACAGTGCCAGAATCTCTTCTAAAAACAGATGTTAAATAGCATGAGGAAGACTAGTCTGCTGCAACAAAGAGATCCAAAATACAATGGCTTATAGAAAATAGCTTTATTTCTCACTCTCTAGACTATGTTGATCGGTGGCTCTACTCCATGTGTCACTCAGGAACCCAGGTACCTTCCATGTCTTTGCTCTGTTAGCCCTCTGAAGCATTACTGAAGCTGGGTCCCTGACAGATCTGTGTTCCAACTCAAGGAAAGAAGAAATGGAGCATGGAAGAGCTAAAGCTCAACGTCTAAGATCTATTTCTATTTGCTTACTATTGCAAAGAACTTAGTCACAAAGCCTCACTCAGATGCAAGAGCAGATGGGGTGTGCGGTCTCTAGTGAACCAGCCATTCCTCCAACTGCTATTCTATTACTATAAAAATGGGAAGATGGATTTTGGTGGATATCTAGCAATTACCACTACATCTCCTTTTTCTGAGCCTCAATATCTTCATCTATAAAATGGAGATAATAATCTATCCTATTTAACATGGCTTTAAGACGCAGGTCCAATAATCCATGTGAGAGTGCTTAGTAAACCCCATTTTGCCAATAGGAATCTCTCATCATTGTTTTTTGGTAGACTGTCAGCTCCTTGGGGGCCAGGAACATAGTTTATTCTATCCCTTCACACAAGGCCTGCCTAGAGTCAATATCAGCAAATACATGTTGAATAATAAAGCCATTATTTCATTCATCATCAAGCCTTTTTTCACTTCATTTCAAATGCTTCAATAATTTAGACTCTGCCCTGTTTATGCCCCTTATAATGTAGGTGCATGTCAATGTATCGGTTGGGATTTTCCAGATTGTCAAGCAACAGTATACTACTATTAAACTTGCTTAGGCAGTAAAATGAACCATCTTGCATGTCCTAAAGTGCAGGCTCTCCATCAGAGTAAAAGATGCTCCTCCCTAGGAAGACCATCCCTAGCTCCCTACCTCACGTATTGGCTATCCCCAGACTGGGAGCAAGATGGCTCCTGCAATTCCAACATTCCCGGCAAAGGGGGCAGACTGTTTATGAAAATAAAGAGATCCTTTTCAGGAGACCTTCTCTGCCATAGGCTTCCCTCTGGCTTTTCAGACCAGACCTGTGCAAACCATCATTGGCAAGAGGAATTCAACCGCCACGAGGGACACAGACTGAACAGGACTCACTCTTGGAGGCGGACTGGGGTCAGCTGTTTCTTGATCACACAGGAAGGACTCTGATCATAAGGAAAAGTCGAGGAATGGCTGTTGCATGAGCAACCAGCATTTTTCTGGCGATGATGCAGACACTGGGCCAGGTGAGGGTATGATAAAAGACACATTAAAAGCCATGAGCTAAATTGAGAGCTGTTTCTTTAACATGTATGTCAATAAAGTTTAACGCCAGTGAAGACATTTCTGGAAGAGGCAAAAATTGGGGAGCCACCCTCATTGCCTCTCTCTCTCACTCCTATATCCAAACCATCACCAAATGTCATAGCGTCTGTCCTTTCAGTATCTTAGCCTTCTCTCCTTACTCACTGCAAGGCCCAGTTCAGGTCTTGCCTCCGGCGGGCACACTGACAACAGTCACCTCATTGGTACCCAGGCTTTCTCTCCTCTTGCATTCCACATCCATGCGGCTTTTATCCAGGACACAGCTTTATTGTGTTCTGAGCACTGTGCTTATGAAGAAGTCCCTTCTTGGACATTAGAAAGGGTTTCTATCTTCTTCACCTTGCTGATGGTATAATAAGCATCTCAGAGACTTATGAAACCCAAATCGGACCAGATTGCTCCCCTGTTTGAAATCCGAACACCTTCAAGAAGTTCCTGTGACCCTCCAAGTCCCTTTCCCATCACCCTCAACAGATCAGAATTGCTTGCACGTCCCTCAAAATGCCTTCCCTTTTCACACCTCTATGCTTCTGCAAAGCTCCTCCCTCTGCCTAGAAATCCCTTATTCCCTCTCCATCTGGCACACAAGACAAGGTCTCCTGTTACTTTCTCTCTCTCCCCCGCTCCTGCTCCACGCCCCCCTTAACACGCACCCGCGCACGAACACACGCACACACACGCACGCGCACACACAGAGAGCACTCCAGAAACATCTGCCGAATGGAGAGAATCCCCTGGGTCAGACATTTCGCCAGGGTTTTCCAAACTTCTCCCCCAAGCGCTCCTTAAGTTAGTGAAGAAGAAATGATGGGACTCCAGGGCTTAGGAGTGCGAGGGCCTAGAATGTGCTCTAACCAAGCAGGACATTTGTCTGTGCAACAATTGTATTCTATACAGATTACACAACATATTCTTGTTTGATACAAAATATTATTTCTCCTAAACCTTCAAACTGATGATACAGAAAGATGCTCATAGTTTATTCATTGTTCTTTCAAATTATCTGCTGTCCGATTTCCATCCTGCCGCGGAGACCCTAAGCGAGCCCTGGATGCTGTTTCAAGTACAGACCCTAAGAACAGCTGGGTTTCGCTTCCCCGCTAGCCAGAGGATGGAGGAGGCGGAGCCGGGGTCAATAGGCCGGAGGCCCCGCCCCTCCCCCGCCCGCTGCGGGGGCGGAGTCGCGTGGATCCCGCCCACGGGGGCGGGGAGGGAGCCGAGGCCACCGGCGGCTCGGATTCTGCTGGTTCCGGGTTGAGAGGCTGCGCTGGACCCAAGCTGTGGCTGCTGGGCCCGCGGGGGTAAGGGACCGAGTCGGGGCTTGTGGCAGGGATCGGCAGCTGAGCTGGCTGGCTGGCACCCCGCCTCTTCTCTGCCGGGCACAGCTGTGGTGCGACTCCGCCTGGCTTCCCCCTCCCCCAGAATTCCCCAACCCAGCCCCTCCCCCTCCCCCCACGGCGCCCGTCTTGGGATTTTGACCCCCTCAAGGCCTCCATCTCCTCCTGGATCCCAGTCTCCCAGCTCCCATCCCCTTCGGACTGTCCCGCCCCTTAAAACCTCCTTGCCTGGGGCCCCATCCCTCCAGCACCCATCGCTTTGGGTTCTCTACCACCTCGAGACCTCCCTCCTGGGCTCTCATCCCTGTAGTCTCTACCCTGCGCCCCGTCCTCGCATTACTCTCCTCCTGGACTGCACCTCTTTCCTTCTCTGGCACCTCCTACCCTGCCTGTGCGGGCTTCGTCCAGTGCCAGTCCCTCGGAGCTGCCCCAGACATCGTCTCCCGATCTCAGCCGCCCCCCTGACTCCCAGGCCCCCCTCTCCGCCCCTGGCGCCATGGCGTGCAGCCTCAAGGACGAGCTGCTGTGCTCCATCTGCCTGAGCATCTACCAAGACCCGGTGAGCCTGGGCTGCGAACACTACTTCTGCCGCCGCTGCATCACCGAGCACTGGGTGCGGCAGGAGGCGCAGGGCGCCCGTGATTGCCCTGAGTGCCGGCGCACGTTCGCCGAGCCCGCGCTCGCGCCCAGCCTCAAGCTGGCCAACATCGTGGAGCGCTACAGCGCCTTCCCGCTGGACGCCATCCTCAATGCGCGCAGAGCCGCGCGACCCTGCCAGGCACACGACAAGGTCAAGCTCTTCTGCCTCACAGACCGCGCGCTGCTCTGCTTCTTCTGCGACGAGCCCGCGCTGCACGAGCAGCATCAGGTCACCGGCATTGACGATGCCTTCGAGGAGTTGCAGGTGCGCTGCCGGGCCGGCCCGAGGCGGGGGCGGGGACGGCTGGGGGTGGGGTCAGGGCTGGACCGCGGGCAGGGCCCAGTCAGAACTGTCACGGGGCGGGGCCGCTGGCACTGTCAGGGCCCTATCAGAATTAATACAGGGCAGGGGTGGGGCGGGGCCGCGGCAAGGGGCGGTGTCTTGGGGCGGGGCCTCGGTCAGTCTCTGCCAGGCGGTATCGGAGATAGACTTGGATAAGGCGAGGCTACTTGGTTGGGAAGAGGTCCAGGGTGAGGCTGGAACGGCGAGGAAAAGTGATAGCAGGGCTGGACCAGGTACTGGCCTGTTCTAAGGTTTTGAATGGAGACCAGTCAGAAGTGGGCAAAGACAGGGCCACTCTCGGGGGGCGGGGCCGCGTGGTTAGATTTGTACTGCACCTAGTAGCTGAGATCTAGCAGGCTGGGGTCCTGATGGGGCGGCCCGGATCAGGGATGCATCACGACCTAAGTGGGAGTACCAGTGCTAGAGTCTGCTGGGCAGGTGAAGATTAAACCTAAGAGAGGAGTCTTCCTTAGGGTGGCAAACTGCTGAGAAGGCCTATTAGGGTGTGGAGGGTTAGGCCAGGGTATATAACGGATTAAGCCTGGGATCAAGCCCAGACAGGGTGGGAAGACGGTGAGCGTCAGGGATGGATTGGGGTCATTTTAAATAATTTTGAATTTAAACCAGAGTAGGGGCTGTTTAAGGATGGTGCCAGGACTTGAAGATTCAAAATTTCGAGAATAAGGCCCAGCTGTGAGGTGATTCACGAAGTGGGAAGCAGACTTTTAGGAGTCTGAGGGTGGGTGGTGGGTGTTAATGACCTCCTTGGCTCGATCACCTACATCACGACCTTGAAAGACTAAGTGAAACAGTACAGATAAACAAACCTGAGCATAGTTACCCTAGGACTCTAATTGGTCTCCCTTACACTTTGTTGTCTTCACTGACAAACTCCTATTCAACTCACAAAGCCCTGCTCAAACATCTTTGTGAAGGCTTCCCCAAATTCCACCTGCCAAATGGAATGAACGACTAACCCTAGTCTAAACTGGCCCAGACTGTGGACTGTTTAGAAGCGGAATGGTTTGGGCTCAATCATTTTATGAAAATAGTGTCATCTAACTGGGAGATTATGAGCTCTCTGCCCCTTAAAATCCTTAAGCAGGAGCTAAATAACTACTTTGACCCTTCCATATGGGAGCCTCTGTGAGTTGGTCTATACCCAGCAAATGCCCATGGGCCAGAGGAGAAATGGCCTATGTTCACTATTGCTCCCTCCCTGTCTCTTTCATCCTGAAACCATGAGTGATCCCCTTCCTGTCTACCTGTCACAGGGTGAGCAAGGGCCTATACTTCCGGGAGCTTGCATGTGGCCAGCAATGGGCCTCCACCCCCAGAACCCTCTGAGCTAGGCACTGCTGGTGTCCCCATCTCCCCGTCTGTGAAGTTATATAAGCAGGGAGGAAGAGAGAACCTTTGATCGGATTGGGTACAAGTTGTGAGAGCTTGAAGGGACTGTCTGAAACTATCTGTGCCATCTCTTTATTGGATAGATGTGGAAACTGAAGTCCGGAGAGGTGATGTGTCTTACCAAGCACCACACTACCAGAGAGTGAGAGGGCCAGGGCTGGAGGGCACAGCCCAGTCTGGATCCCTCCCTCCACTCACCCTCTCCCCACCCTGTCTGAATTTCTAGCCTTGGCTTCAGAGCCTTGTGCTTTCTGCAAACCAGGGAAATCTGAATTATTGTGCTTTGAGCCTTTGTATTCCATTTTGTAACCTGGGGAATGCAGGAAAAATTGAACATATGTTGTCTACAAATATTATTGAAACACTTTTCTTGGGTGAAAAGGAAAACAGGATTGCCGTTTGTTTACTCTCTAGTGCACTGTCCTGGGTCAGACCAACTTGGGTTCTACACCTGTATCAAGCACTATCTATGCACCTTGCTGAGTCCCTTCATGTAAACTTTGATGCTAGATCTGTAAGATGGGGTCAGGATGCTTCCTTCCTACCAGGAATTTCCTAAGGCTGACCTGGGATGAACCCACTATTTGAGGTTCCTGCTACACAGTAAGGCAGCGGTTCTCAACCCGTGGGTTGCAACCCCTTTGTAACAATGAAAATACATCCTGCATATCAGATATTTACATTAGGATTCATAACAGTAACAAAATTACAGTTATGAAGTAGCAACGAAAATAATTTTATGGTTGGGGGTTGCCACAACATGAGGAGTTAACTGTATTAAAGGGCCACAGCATTAGGAGACGTTAGGAAGGTTGAGAACCACTGCAGTAAGGGCTGAGACAACACACATTCCCATCCTTTCTCCTACCTGTCAGAGCTCATGTGCCCAGGTGGGTGGATGCCCAGACCTGCCTCTCTGGCCTGAGAAGGAGGCTTTGCTTTGGGTCTCCTATGAGCTTGGCAAGATGATATCAGAGAAACCTATCTCCCCCTGGAGAGGATACGTGCTTGGGTAAGGTTCAAGCCACCCTCTGTCCCTGCCTGCCTCTTCCTCCTCCTGGGAAAGCATGGCTCAATAGCCGTTTCTTCCCTGGCCATGAGGTTGGACCCTCCCTCACACATCACCTCCTCTCCCAGCAGCTGGTGGCTGCTAGAACATTCACTTGAACTCCTCTCCTGGAGAATTACAGACTCAGAGCTGGCAGGGCCTTGGAGATCATCTGGTGTAACGCTCACTAGACAGATGGGGACGCAATGGAGAGGAGGAAGGGAGGGGACTTGTCTAAGGCCTCAAAGCCAGAGGAGGCCAGGCCTACACTCAGCCTGAGTCCCCGGATACCTTACCTAACAGTTGGCCTGGAGCTTTTACATTTATTATAAATCCTGGAGATAGCAAAGCAGAATGATTAAAAGCTCTGGCTCCATAGTCAGCTCCAATCCTGGCTCTACCATTTACTGACTGTGTGATCTTAGGAAAGTTACTTTTTTGCCATCCCTGACCTTGGGTCCTTCATTGATAGCATGGAAGTAATGAGGTTAGCATTAAATGTTTATAAGGATTTAGTACTGCACTTGGCACAAAGGAGCACTTAGCAAGTGACAGCTATACTACATTACATCATGCTCACTACTATTGACATTTGGTGCCGGGTAAGTGCTACTCGGGGCTGTTATACATCGTCAAAAGTTTAGCAGCATCCCTGGCCTCTACTACTAAATACCAGTAGCACCGCCCCCCCACCCCCATTATGACAACAAAAAAGTGTCTGTAAACATCAACAGATGTCTCCTGAGATGAAATCACCCATGGTTGAGAACACTTACCTAGACAAAGCCTACTCAAGTTTCAAGATTCAGCTCAAATATCACCTCCTCTGTGAAGCTTTCCCTGACCTGCCAAGCAGAAGGGCTTTGTACTCCAGAATCCATTTCCGGGGTCATGCTTTGTGTCCCTGGTCATGTCATTTCATTTCTCTAAGCTTCCAAGTACTCATCTATAACATGGGAATAATATGACATTCCCAGGAAGGATGTTGTAAGGGCTAGGGATACTCTGTCAGATGAACCTAGTACTCTGCCTGGCACAACATGCACACAAGTTTTAGATATATTTGTTTATTCTGATTATAAAGGTAACACAAGAAGCAGAACTCTGTATCATAAAAGCTAAAGTCTCCCATAATCCCACCCCATGAATAAACATGGCTGGGATTACTCTGTAATTCTAAGAATGTTTATGTAATATGCATATGTGTGTAAGTGTGTGTATGTGTGTTGGTGTCTTTTCCCCCCAACCCCACTGCTGAGTGCTGGGAGCAAAGGGGAGGGAAGGGACCCCCATCTTCAAAGGGTTTGGGGATTCTCAGCCAGAACTCATTGATCCCTAGCTGTGCTAACAGCTTTTCTTGTATTACCTCGTTCCATCTTCATAGCACCCTGCCAGGTGGGTATTGTTATTTATTCCATCTACAGATGAGGAAACTGAGACTCAGAGAAATTAAGTGACTTGTTTGGTCACCCAGCTGGCAAATGGCAGGGCCAAAATTTGAAGCCAGTCTGACTGGGCCACATACAGCCCCTGAGCATGGGGTAATTGTCTCCCACACACCCTGCCTGTCTTTGTACTGAGAGCACTCAGCACAGGGCTAGGGGAAGGAAGCAGTCTGTCCATGCCAGCTGACGCCCTGAGGGCAGGTGGCTGGTATGTCATCATGGTCAGGCGTGTCATCCGGCTCTCCGGCCATCTCAGGTTCCTAACCCCCCAGAGAGGGGATCCGATTCAGTCTCAGCCACCCCCTCCGTGACTCATGTGATCATTGGAGCCTTTCCCAAGGCCTCCTTCTTGCCAACAAGGACAGTGGTGGATCAGCCTTAGACAGGAGCCCTGGCAAGCTGAGTATGGTGATCCATAGATGCCACCCGAGGAGAGAACAGGGATAGGGGACTGGGTTCAAATCTTGGCTCTGGCTTTTTCCAGCTGAGTGGAAGGTATGGCCTTCTCTTTCCCTTTTACCCACTCTGGGAAATGGAAGTAAGAGCGAGACTTCTTGCTTTATGTGTAAAGAGGGAGAGAGAGAGATGACAGATGCAAAGGCACTTTATTTTGTGCCGTGGATAGGGAGATTACTGGGTTGTGCATCAAACCCAGGGCTGGCTGCTGGCATGTCCACTTCCCCCTTCACAGGGGTGGCCGAGACACCTGGGCCTGGTACAGACCACAGTCTAGAAACTCAGTGGTAAAGTTGAGGGCCCCAAGATGTTTATTTTATAGAATGAAAAAGATCTGATAGAGAATAATAATGACAGAATAAACATAAGAGGCAAAGTTTGGGGGCATAAAGCAAATTATTGGGCACTTACCATGTGCCAGGTACTGTGCTAAGGGCATTTGATCCCCATAGGAGCCTTTTTTATTTTCCCTGCTCCCTGACTGTGAGGGGGATCAGCACTGCTTCACAGATGAAGACATTGAGGCTGAGAGATTTGGTAACTCTCCCAAGGTCACCCTGCAA